CCATCACTGACGCAGGATGACGACCTAAGGCGCTTTGCAGACGGCGGGGCGGAGCGGGCTGGTCAATTTCGCCGCGAACGATAGCACAAAGTGAATCCTATACTACAAACGCACACAGAGGGCAAAAGACCGCGCGGCGTGTCCGCGGCTGCCCGCCGTGGATCATACAAACCAGTTTAAATGCAGTAACGCAGACGGGGGCGCGGGGCGGCTAGTTCAGTCCGCGCCACGCGCTTTTTAGTGATGGACTATTCACTAGAACGAACGTCCTGAACTGACTGCCTCTGCCCGTCGTGTGCTTTGTGTACGCGGCGCGGGCAGCCGCAGACATCGCCGGGCAGACGCGTTTTTTATTGCTTCGCGGACAAAATGCCCGCCCCGCCCCGTCGTCTGCAAAACGCCTAATGGGGTTTCGACGAATTCTGGCTTTAACAGCACTTTTGTAGTTCTATCAGCACGCGGCTTTGTTTTTAATTTTTATGTTTAATCATTTAACTATTACTAGTTTTTATCTTTTTTTTCTCTGTGTTTATCTGCCATCAATCTCCATATAGACTATAATCACACATTACAGATTTTTGAAGGAGTGGAGGAGAATAAAACTAGTTTTTACGGGTTAATGCACGAAACTTTATTTATTTATTGACGTTTCGTAGCCTTTACAGGCTTCGTCGTCAGAATAAAACTTTTATTTAATTTGTCGAGCTACCTTCGAAAGACTTTTATTGAGCGTTTGGTTATTTCAATGTTCGATTTTTAAGTTTTATTGTCTATGTATGAATGCATTATTTAATTTACTTAATAAAGTATTTTATTTAAAATTCTTGTTTGTAATTTTGAGTTTATTTATTTGACCCTAACTACCGTAAACTACCACCGGTTCCAAAATTGGGAGACCTTCCTGAGAAGAACCGGCGAAACAAACTCAAGAGAGGCTTTCTATCTCCTTCTTATGTTAAATTATGCAAACAAAAAGAACTAATAGTATCTGATGGTCTTGCTGTGTGTGCTCGGGGTTGGGATTTTATCTCCTGTATAATAGGTTCCCAAGCTGGTGGTATATACCAACCATCTTCCCTATTGAAATTTGGATATTTTTTAATCTCAATAGCCTCGCGCATCATTCGAGGAACGAACCGCCGCTCAGCTGCAAGGATCTGTGGTCTATCAAATCTAATGTAGTGGTTATTGAACATGCATTAGGGGGACCAAACCACTACATTAGATTTGATAGACCACAGATCCATATGGACTTTTTTGTAGATATGATGTCCTCTATAAAACTTTAGGACATCACTTTGCTCTATTCCGCAGCGTATGCGATATAAGGCTATTTTTAGGTATCGGAGATCGGAGACATAGCACGAAGATAGGTTTTGCGCGGAATATATTGACGCGGGGCCTTCTTGAGTCCCGGGCCTATGCCAAAGGCCCGTAACAATACACTGTACTCAAGTAAAGATCAACACTTAGTTGTCATTCTGTAATGCGGGCCTAAAACTCATCAACCGTCAGTAAAACTACTTTATTTTTATTGTATTTTTTATTCAACAAGCTTTTAGTACTGTTCATAAAAAGAACTATAAAGTTAAAAGTTATGTAATTCTTATAAGAAGTTATCAATTTTATATGTACATGTAATCCCATTTTTAGGGTTCCGTATCCCAAAAGAAAAAACGTCACCCTATTATTATCACTCTGTCTTCTGTCTGTCCGTAACCATATGTGATGCGTCTCTAGATAATAATGAACAGAGTGAGTTACAGAACTGAAATTTTGGCATTTTATGTAAAATGCTAACATGAGGCATGCCAGACCCACCATACCCCTAGCCATACCCCTGGGGGTAGGGTGGGACTGAACCATGCCACCGTTGTAGTGCTGGGATTTGATGGAAAAATAGAAAAAAAATAGATACCTAACAGATACAAATATTTAGTTTATTAAAAAAACCGAAATCCGTTCTAGCAAAATCTAAAATTATAACAATATAATATATAATACTTATTTTGTTATTTATCTTAAACAGAAAACTTAAAAGATGATAATCTATGTTCTTAATTTGTCTAACGCATGCCCAATGGTGATTTCGTCTGCACTAACTGCATTTGACTTCTGTTATAAAATCATCATTAATAAATTGTTCCGCACGACGTTTTTTAGGAGTAGCTTTTGTTTTATGAATATTGTGTAGAACATTTAACAGTCGCATTAAAGTTACTGTATTCTTATTGAGAATTTTATTCAATTTTGAATGAAACGACTCTAAAATATTTGTCGTTCGATGTCTTTCACCATAAACGCTGATACGTCGGAAGTATGTATTTTTACTATCGTACTGTGTATTTTACAAGCTATCATATTCTGATTTCATATAATCTAGTCCTAGTAATATTTTATCGCCAGATAAAAGCGGTAAGGCGGCCGTTATTCCCACATTTCTTCTCTCAGGTTTTGTTTGCGTAATGCAGAACTTCGGCGATTTAGCTTTTTTCCATATGTGTGGTAATAGGGGAAGTTGAATCTTTAATTACCTATTACAAGGGACAAAAGGATACTTGAAATATACACGATAAGATTATTATTGAGAACAATCAAGTAAAAATGAATTTTAAGTACATATTTATACTATGTCATATGGGATGCTATTAACACCAGGTACCTACGTAATATTCGGAAAAACTAAACCTGAAAGCATATAGTGTACAGCACTACGGTGGTATGGTTCAGTCCCATCCTACCCCTGGGGGTACAACTAGGGGTATGGTGGGTCTGGCATGAAATGAGGGGCTCGATGGCGCGGGTGGTTAGCGCGTTCAGCTGCGATCGTTGAAGTTAAAGAACTTTCGCAGCGCTCGGTCAAACAATGATTTTTTACACTTTAAAAAAATATGCGTTCCAAATATTTGTTCAAAGAAGATTAAATATGCTAAGTGTGTCATGGAATATAAATTTCGGAGCAACAAGATTCTGCCAGATAAAGGGAACCCCATAAGCAAATCTGCAAAAAATAAGAACTACCGATTTTGACGTACTTTACCCGTACTTTCAGGCGACAATTTTACTGAACTAAAAAAATCCACGAGAAATAAGTGGAAAGCAATACCTCCTTTGAACTTATGTTGCTCTGGTACCTACTTACATCAGATTTGATAAATTCTAGTAATTTTATTTATATTCCATTAAACTTAATAAAGAATGTTTTCTCGTCCTATCATCTCGTCAAGCGTTGTTCAACAAATGGGTTTTTTCCCTACTTATTTTATTGGTAAAACAAACTACTGTTTGTTCTACTGGTCTACTGACCAGGATGGTAATACCCCGACCTCTGCTCCCACCAAAAGAGTCTATTCATCATCAAAATATTTATTTTTAAAATTTTCCTTAAAGTTCTTCTGTAGGTTTCCTTTACATACCAATGGATTATTTATTTGATTATTAAATTATTCCAAACCGTAACACTGGAATGGAAATCGAGGCTTAGTCACCGTCACACTGAACTTTGAAAGAGTGACGGTGTGATGGTCGGGGAAAAAATAATCCCCACTATCATACTGGTGTGTCGGTTTGGTGTGACGGTCGAGAACGCATGCCATTTCCCATGCATGTTTTGCTCGATATTATAATATAGTGTCTAAATGTAACGACCTCCGTGGCCGAGTGGTTTGTACGCCGCGCCGGGTTAATCGGGTTCAAATCCCGGTGGGGGCAGATGTTTGTGTGATGAATACTAGCATTTGTACTCCATTCATGGATGTTGAATATGTATTTCTATATAAATATATAACGCTTTTCTTTGTCGAGCAAGTAGCAGCTTCAATACACAATCAAAACAGGTTAATTTCGATCTTTTTAACACTAGCGAAGCGTTGATTAGACGTACCATTGCTCATTTGTTTTTTGGAGATTGTAAATAACAGGTGCGTAATTTGTTATTCTGTTATAAAAGACCTCATTTATACAACTATTTTTAAGAGTTTTTTTTAACATTGGACAGTGCAAATAGTTTTTTTATAACTTTAAGTTATGTCTAGATGTGAGAACTGTAATTGACTCTTTGTCGCTACTATTCATTTCTAGTTTATTAAGATAAGCTGTTGGTCTTCCATGTAACCAAAATAAATAAATGTACAGTATATGTATTCTATCCGTTACCCTAGTATCCCATAATACAAGCATAATACAATTGGTGTGTTTAAAAAAAATTTGTATAGATAATGGTATGGAACCCTTCGTGCGCGAGTCCAACTCGCACTTGGCTGATTATTTCTTCCCAAATAATCGAGAAATGAAATAAAAATAAATGTACTTAAATAAAATATCGATAAAAACTATAGAAGATATTTCAATAATAAAATTTGGTTCTTTTTCTTTATTCATTTCGAAAAATAGGCATTCCAAATTATCTGCACCTTTTCACACAAACTTCATTCAAAAATTCTATTTTTTTTTAATATAGAGGTAGGCAAATGACTCTACCCCACCTGATGTTAAGTGGTAATAAAGTCCAAACGCGAAGATAGCTAGTACAGCAGTTATAAACTACTACACCAATCATCCTCACCTTGCCGGCCTGCAAAAATGCTTCTTCACGCCTCTTCAGTGTTAAAACTCTTATCTTAAATTATGAGATAAACTTACCTACTTTAATAATGATATTACAGGTATCAGAAGATCAATAGACTTTCAATGGTAATAATGTATAAATGTGATGTTTATAAGCCAATAGACGCTTATAGTAAAAATTGGAAATAAAACAGTTTAATTAGTTGTTATGTTTAAATCCGGAATGGAAACAGAGACAGAAGATTTATTAAAAAAAATATTAACACAACACAATTGTTCGTTTCCCTCATTAATAACAAAGCGGAAATAAAAATATACTATGCACCGATTTTTTATAAACATGTACAAGTCAAGTTTTTAGACCTAAACTTAAAAGACATTCAGTTAAATTCTTCAGGAATGACCATCACAGGTTCTGGAATTATATCTATCGGGGTAGGTACAACGGGAATAGGAAAGAGTGGGTTCTCAATGACGATTGCCTCTTGAACAACAACCTCTGGGTGGGGGCAATGACTACTGTTTCGGGAGCGGGAGCAGTGACGATCGGTTCAGGAACAACCACTTCAGGGAGGGGCGCAATGATAATAGGCTCCGGAGCGGGAGCGATCACAATTGGCTCAGGTACAAGTGCTACTTCAGGAATCGGTGCGATTATTATGGGTTTAGGAACAATTTCGGGTTCATCTACCACAATCACAGTAGAGAAGGAGGCACTACCGCTTCCGAAGCCTGATTTATATTAAGAATGATTTGGACAAGCGGAGCGCTGCTAGATGGACTAAAATCAGGCTCTTCAGCCACGAGCACAGGTGTAGGCGCAATAGGAGAAATAGGGCCAGACTCATCAACAATCACAGGAGTCGGTACGATGGGAACGATAGGAGCAGAGTCTTCAACGATCACGGGCGTAGGGATGATGGGAGCGGGTTCTACAATGGCTGGACCAACGGAAATACTTTCAGGTGGATTGACAATGGCAGGTCCAACGGAGACGGGGAAAGATCCCATGCCGAAAACGTCTTGAGCTAGCTGCCCCAGCGAGGCAGCGGTATCCGGTTTAATGCAGGGACTCTGAATGGCGATCATCACGTGCTGTAGCTGGTCCAACTGTTCTGCGTTCAGTGGCTGTCGCACGGCGGCCGATGAAGCCACGGCGATTAAGCCGACAAATGCCCAGAGAAACTTCATTGAGCTGTAATATTTGAAATAAAGTCTTAGAGAGGGAGTAATCAAAAATAAATATATAGGTATGCGGAAAAAGATATATTAAATAAAAATATTTTCTGCTAAGTAATTCGTATACAAAATAATATTATGCATGTAAGGGATTTGTAAACTTATGGGTTATATCTAATCGTTTTAAACAATAGGTAATGTTTTATTTTAAAGCGTCGGTACTTTGCTTAACATTCATTACATAGGTAAACTCTACACAGAAAAATAACTAAAATACTCACATATTTAATGGAATTGTAAAAGAAATGATATCCTATAGCTATGTAAAGTCAGTTTTTATAGTTTTAATCTTATCTTTTATACGCATTTAATTGATAAACTATCCTACTATGAGCCACTGTCCTACAATGCGTAGTTACTTCTTAAGAGATTTTCACACTTTTTTTTCACACAAAAAGATTACTAGCACTTTTATTTGAGTTTCACCTGGGTGTTCGCCAAGGAGATACTCTAATTACATATAAAGTAGTATCACCTTGGTGAATACCCAGGTTTTAACACCGTAAGTGGGAACTGGAAGAAAACCATTGGTCAAATATGCGCACTTTTTGTTCGGCCTTGAGATTCATTTTGAAGGCAAACTCATATCTATACATAATACCATGTATTTTGGACTATGCAGCTCAATGGACTTCATTAAGTTGATAATCACCGCAGAAATAATGTCTGTGCTGGATATTTCTTTTCTATTAAATAACTCAAGTTTTTACTTGAGTATATAATAGAATTAAATGTTACGACAATTTACTTTCAAACAAGAATCGAATCTGTGCCAAGCAATCTGGATTGTAAAGAAGTTCAAATCAAATCACCCGATTCTAACCCACAATATCAATCATTATATTTTGTTGAACCGATGCTGATGATTTTTGGTTGAGAGTTAAAGGAGGTAGACCCGAAGCTGAAGCTGTGTAGCAGAGATAATTTTTAAACAACATCATTTCTTTGTCTGAAACAAATGAATTTTTAGTTTTCGATTGAATGTCGTTCCACAATGCTATTAAATATGGTTTGAGTATCAAAATAAAAAGACTTTAAACGGCTAAATATTATTATGCATTAAAATATTTCAAATCAACCGTAAAAGTTTCCAATGTATCTACAGTCATTGGCCCTCGAGGTATACAATAATTGGTCCGATTGGCCTTCTAAATATTTTTTAATTCTATAATATTTACCTATATATAAATACTTAGGTATGTATAATGTCCTGTGCAGACGATGAGACGACGAGAGACGATGTCCTCCGCGGACAAAAGTCCCTCAAACTTAAAAAATAATCCACCGAGAACTTGTCCCAGACTCAACGCACAGGGAGTGCGGACATTTTGTTGCCCGAAAATTAAGAAAAGGTGCACACTGTGTTGTAATTAACATGAAGCTAAAGAAAAAGAGTAGACGTTTAAAAAGATAAGTTATCTTGCATACAACCTCGCTTTGCCCAAAAACGTCATTTTTATATATCAAAACAATAAAATATACGGACGCCTAATGAAAATATTTCCACGCAAAATAAAGTAACAAACTTTATTTTTTGCAAAAATTGCACTTGAAAAATATTAATTGAAATTCAGAAAATGATCAGTAGGTTCATTATGCGTTAACAACATATAAATGAATTATTTTTATAACATTTTCCCCAAGTGTTAATTTTTTTTTATAATTTTAAATTTTTATACACGTTGCGTTGTGATGATGCAGCAACATGAAGGCTGGCAAGGTGAGGATGGCTGGTGTGACAGGTAGAACTGCTGTACCAGCTATCTTCACGTCTGAACTTCACCATCACTTAACATCAGGTCCGGTGGAGTCATTTGTCGGAACTATCTATAAAAAAACGACGGGTTGCACTCCGGGAGTGCCGGCAGAAGTGAAAACTTGAATATTAACGTTGTGCATTTTTGATATTTTGGAATGGTTAGGGAATAATTTTGCACGAATTGCTTAATTATCAGTATAAAAGTACTATCATGTAAGTGGTAGAAAAGAATATTTATTTATTGTGCTATCGTACACAAAGATGACAATTTAAATTACATTAAAAAAAGTTTATCTCTCAGAAAAATCAACTTACATGAATCACGTTTCAGCGCACTTAGCGACATCTATTGTAAAGAAATGAACTTACATGAATCACATTTAAGCGCACCTAGCGACATCTATTGTAAAAAAATGCATTTTCTTCAGAATAAAGCTACCACGTGGACGTCCTAGATAAAGACTTATTATAATACGATAAAATAAAATATTACTATGTTTCGTCCAATATATTGAAAGTCAACAACCTTTCCAATTTTATTGTGTGTCATGATGCGATCAGCGCACGTGCTTAACCTGACGCGAGTTTAACATTTTTTACCCATACAAAAAAAAGTGTGCAACGCCGCTAAAGAAGTTTTCACTTCAAAAAATATAAATGACGACCCTTTTCTACCAAGAAACATCAAAAGATAGGGATAATAAGGATGACAAACAAAAAAACTACTGAAGTGCGAGTCGGGCTCGCACACCAAGGATTTCGTTTCGTATACCTAAACTTTTATCTTCTTCATCAGCCTATCAATGTTCCCTATCTTATCGATGTATGCCATCTGTAGATTGATATGCATCAGCATGACCCACGCATGCCCAATGCGGATCGATGGATTTTAACGACTCTAAGTGTATATCGGCACCAAAGTGTTAATGTCCCTTTCAAAGCATGGAGGATCTTGGTTGGATAGGAGATATGGTCACCCATCCTTTTTTTTATCTCGTTTATTATTTTTATCAAGTCACATCTGATTTATTATAGTTATTTTTAACTAGTTTTCGTCCTTGAGGGTCGATCCGATTCTTGACTGCTCACAATATATACGCTACACTTTGGTTAGCGTCTTTCTGTTCACTGCAAACACTCATCATAAAAATTGTGAGTGCAAAATTTCAGCTCAATCGGAAACCGGGAATTGTGTCAAATTGAAATTGCAAGTTTTCATTTCACACATATACACACAACGGACAGGTAAAGTGATTAAAAGCTGGTACAATAATAAGAGTGTAATAAAATAGCCCCATCATTTTGCAAAAAAATAACAAAGGTGATAACAAAATGAGATATTTACTTGATATTAACGAATATACATCCGTAACCACATGTTCATGGTAGTCATTTAATTTTGTCCTATATTTATATATAAAACTCAAAGGTGACTGACTGACTGACATAGTGATCTATCAACGCACAGCCCAAACCACTGGACGGATCGGGCTGAAATTAGGCATGCAGGTAGATGTTCTGACGTAGGCATCCGCCAAGAAAGGATTTTGATCAATTCTACCTAAGTTTGTATAAAACTTTGTCAATTTTAAACCGATCGGGCTGAGACTTTGCATGCAGGTATAAGAAGAATCATAGATGAATGTCATTGTGTATAATACAAGCCTGAGAACAAAAACTGTAATCTACACTTCAGCTCTACACCGAAGCGAAGCGAGGGCGGGCCGCTAGTCATTCATAATTGCCAAGCCTTTGAGCCATACTCATATGAATTATTTATTATACCATTTTATTACTTTTACTAACTATACATCCACAAGGCTACTGAACACGAACTTCAGCCGCATACACGTAAACAAGATGACACTAAACTATATTATCTTTAAACTTACAATATCTGTCTTAATCAAAGAAATAATATATCTTTATATATATAATTCTTCTGTGAGTGTGTATGTCACTGAACTTCTCTTAAACGACTGGACCGATTTTGATGAAATTTTTTGTGTGTGTTCAAGGGGATCTGAGAATGGTTTAGATTCACAATTTTGTCCGCTGGACAACCCCTATTTTTTTAGGGCGGTACGAAGTTCGCTGGGTCAGCTAGTATATATATATATATGTATATATAGGTTTTTTGATTTAGGTATATATATATATAAATATATACCTAAAACAAAAAACCTTAAAAATATAATAAAATAACTAAAATATAGTATTAAAATGAGTCCCTTTAGGCAAGGTTCCGAAGATATACTGGCAGCGTTCCCCCTTTGAATAGCTACATTGTTTATTCAATTTGAATGACTTAATGCACAGGGATTTCACATTTAACAGTAATGCTTAATCTAAACTTCCTAATCTTAAGTATTTACATTTATCATTCATTACCAGTGGATGCCCCGCAACTTCGTCTGCGTGGTAAAATCGGCTTTTCATAAAAAACTTTCACCACTTTTCACCCTCTTAAAAGATTATTTCTGTGATAAAAACTACCCTATGTCTTTTATAGGGACCCAAACTATGTCTAATTTGTCGGTTTTCTGGCTTAATTGTCAAAGATAAAAGACAAACACACTTTGGAATTTATAATATTAGTGCATTTAAATATTACTAATCTATACATACTAATAATTATTATAAAGATGAAAGTTTTGTTTGTCTGTTTGTATTGAAAAAGGCTCCGACACAACTAGAACGAATTAAAAAAATTATGAATATTTTCAAAAGATTTAGGGATTCGTATGAAAACTTCAATAATGTAACCCAACGTGTTAAAAAAATACCAAGAAAACACACCACGTAAGAATCGGACCGGCACTCGTAGGCTTCTGTACCATTATCTTTGCAACATTAAACATTTTTACAATATATAGCAAAAACGGCAAAAAAATCACGTTTGATTAATGGGATGCCCCCTATTTTATTACATACTTATTTATTTATCAAATAAATACATCATCTGTGAAAATTTCAACTGACTAGCTATCACGGTTTATAAACCGTAATCGGCCTGTATCTTAAAAGATACAGGCCGATGTCAGACAGACAGGTTAACATACGGATAGTGGAGTCTTAGTAATAGGGTCTCGTTTTTACCCTTTGGGTACGGAACCCTAAAACACTAAAGCAATCGTGATCTAAGTCGAGAGCGCCCGTTAGTCAATCATAAAATACCACACTATGAATTGAGGAGCTGGCGAACATAACGGTATAATTACGCATCTGGTCGAACTACTTTTTTTCCAGTCCGGAGGATTCGGGCCCGTTGAATTTGAATCTCAAATAATTTTCAATCAAAACCGCCTAAAACAGTGATAAAATTACTAAATTTATAAATTAAAACAATACCTGAAACTCACTGGAGGAATGTCATTCAGTTTTATACAGCCCCTGTAAAATTTAATTTGATGTAATTATGCCGTTCGCCAGCTCCACAATTCAAAGTTTAAAACACCTCATATCACTACTACTGAATATGATGGGATGTT